GCGGGGGCCTCCGGGCGCCTCTGCACCCCAGGCCGGGAAGGCCGCACCCCCAGGTAGCGCAGGCTGCCTCCCCGCACGCAGGGGCCTTTCCCGGAGCGCGGCCCGGAAGGACGGGAGCCACTGAGGCCCCCCCGCCCCTGCCCAGCGAGGCCTCCCCACGCCCGGGGTCACCGCAGGCTGTGGCGCAGGTCCGGACACCCGTGTGGCGCCCTCCAGAGACCCAGGCGGGCTGTCATCGGTGGACTGAGACCCCAGAGAAGCACCCGCGTCGGAGGCGGGCCTAGGGAGCGTTCCTGCAGCGCCCTCTCACTCTGTGACCCCAAACCCACAATCCTCCTGCCTCGGTCTCCTGAGATGACGGGACTGAGCCCCCCAGCTCTTTTCCTCGCTGTATACTATTCCACCCTCCCTACAGAGTGGTGCCCCCGCCCACTAACGGGCGCCTGTGTCTTTAAGACCAGGATCAGCCATTCGAGTCCTCCGAGGGCTCCCGAGCAGCAGCGCTCCGTGGGGTTCCCCCCATCCCCCCCACGGAGGTTTCCGGTTCAGGAAACTCCGGGACAGGGCGTCGTGCCAACCCTCAGGTGGTGACCTCATCGCCAGCCCCGGGCCATGCGAGGGAGCGGGTGGCCGGTGTGGGCCGCGGGCCAGCCATGACCTCAGCGGCCGGGACCCTGACCTCCAGGACCGGGTCCCGAGGCCTCTGGGGCGGAGGTGAGCGGCCGCACCGGGCCGGCCCCGCGAGTCAACACCGGGGATCGATGGGATGTCCCGGGGTCACGGGAGGACAGGGCGACCTGCTGTCTTCAGGCCACGGTGACCCCGGGGCCTCGGGGTGCTGCGGGTCACCTCGGGGTGCTGCGGGTCACCTCGGGGTGGTCGGGGTCACCTCGGGGTGGTCAGGGTCACCTCGGGGTGGTCAGGGTCACCTCGGGGTGGTCAGGGTCACCTCGGGGTGGTCAGGGTCACCTCGGGGTGGTCGGGGTCACCTCGGGGTGCTGCGGGTCACCTTGGGGTGGTGCGGGTCACCCCCGGGACCGCTCGGCGTGCGCTCCGGGAGTCCAGGCAGCCTTTCCCTTTCCTTGCAGTTGTGAGACCGGGCCTGCCTCACCCGGTCCAAACCGGCTGGATCCCGGCCCCTTCCCCGGGCCCAGAGAACAGACCCCCGGATCCCGGGGCCGCCAGTGCAGGGCCGTGTGACTCCCGTGAACCTCGAGGGCCACGGGCTTTCTGCAACATTCCGTTCACTCGTTCACTCGTTCACATTCATTCATTCGCTCCCGGGCTCTTCCGTGCTGGGGAAGCAGCCGGGCCTCTGCGCCCGAGACACCGAGACGCCGTATTAACTCCGGGAACTGTTATTTCTAAAGCACACGCGACATCAACGTGCCATCGTGTGTAACACAAACATCTCCGCCCTGGCTCTCGAACACCCTATCCCAGGGACACACGCCTGTCCCGTGGTGTGTAACGCACTCTCAGGGCAGCCAGGGCACACACGCCTGTCCGCGGTGTGTAACGCACTCTCAGGGCAGCCAGGGCACACACGCCTGTCCTGTGGTGTGTAACACACTCTCATCTCAGCAGCCAAGGGACACACGCCTGTCCCGCGGTGTGTAACACACTCTCAGGGCAGCCAGGGCACACACGCCTGTCCAGTGGTGTGTAACACACTCTCAGGGCAGCCCCAGGGCACACACGCCTGTCCTGTGATGTGTAAAACACTCTCAGGGCAGCCAGGGCACACACGCCTGTCCTGTGATGTGTAACACACTCTCATCTCAGCAGCCCAGGGCACACACGCCTGTCCCGTGGTGTGTAACACACTCTCAGGGCAGCC